ATGAATAAGTCAATTAATTCATTAATAAATAGAACTCCCGGAGAAGATAGAAGGTCCCGGGTTCGATTCCCGGCGGGGGTGTGACAACGGCAACAACTTTTCCCTCATTAATTTGAAGTAGTTTGTAGTGGTTAAATAAAAAATCGAAAGAAAATGATTTCAAATTAATAATGACAAAAAGGTTTTTCTATCCCTCGGGAACACTTTTTTTGTGGATAAGAGATAGGCTATGTCTTTTTCTGTACCCCTGGCAATGTGTGTACAAAATTTCACGATGGTCAGTTAAGTAGTTAAGGCGTGAAATCGTAGCAAACAAGCAAACGAACAACAAACTCATATTCGCATTTATAATATTAGTTAAGATATCGATGAACCCATAAAATAAAAAACAAACAGCTAGTAATGCTAAAATAAAAAGAACTTCCATATTCGCGAAAGACTAGTTCAGAAATTCGAAAAAGATTGTTAAAGGTGTGTTTGGAGCGCGGCGATGTACGGGTTCGAAACATGGACGGTGGGCGCGGCGGAAAAGAAAAGGTTAGAAGCGTTCGAAATGTGGTGTTACAGGCGAATGATGAGGATACCGTAGATAGAGACGGTTAGAAATGAAGAGATTAGAAGTGTGAAAGTCAATAAAAAATAGGCGAAATAGGTTGGTAGGACATCTTCTCAGGCATGAAGGTCTAGTTGAGAGACATTTTAGAGGCAAAAACAGGAGTTAGGAGGAGTAGAAACAGACCTAGTTTAAATTACAGTTCGCAAATAGTTAAAGATGTGGGATGTTTGGAGTTTTAAGGAAATGCGAAGATTAGCTGAAGATAGGAAGGAGTGGAGGTACGTGTCCTACCAGTCTTAGGACTAACGACCTTATAATGATGTTGATGAATGCTAAAATGAGTTAATTTTCCGTAAAATATAAGGTAATTAATTTGCAAAATGCAAAAAACATTATTAAAGCAAATACACAAGTTAAAAGCAGTAATGCAAATAAACAATGATTAATTTATTTTCCATTGATAAGTAATCAATTAATTGTAAAGAGTTATGTTATTGTCTACTTGCACGTTTATTAATCATTGAAAAACAAGTACCTAATAAGAATAAAATAAAATAAATAAATCTTGTCAACAAAGCATTTATCGATAAGGATGAATTTGAAAGTAAGTGAAAAATTTCTTGACGGATTGCTTTCTTTATACCTGCCTACTTATTAACAAGATAAACATGTATACTTTAAGAAGTACCTACCTACGATTCAAGTTGAAAAATTGCTACTGATTAAAAAACAAAAAGCAAATTTTACATCAAAAAGTATCCAAGCGATTTAATTAAAGGAAAACAAATATAAGGAGAAAGAAAATCAGATGTTTAAAATGGAAAGCCTAAAATGGTGACCTTTTTAATTGAAATATAGTTTTTTTCGATGTAAGATATAATTAACAACAAACATTATCCATATTTTCATTAGTATAATTATATATCAAACCGGAAAAGGAATATATGGAGAAGATTTATCATTTAACTTCGCCTTCCTAAATTGTACGCTTCAGGTATACATATATTTACGAAATTTTAGAGTAATCAATACATGGATATAATAAATATAAGTGTAATTTGTCTGTACGTGCCGTTAAAACTCCGCAAGCGAATCCTGCGGCTTGATGGGGGTTATACAGTATGATAGACTTCCATCCCTTATCCATGAAGGTTTCGATATTTAGCTGCAAGGATTGGTTTTAAAGATATTTCGATTAAGAGACTGCCTCCTCCCCGAAGAACGTCATACAGAGAGTCTGTAAAGGTGTTAATTAAGTTTTGACGTCTGATCAAAACGTTACAAATTTCAGTTTCTTCCTGGATGCCCAATCTATATCTATAGGGCTCGAAAATGTTTTAAAATTTTCTAGAAAGTTCTAGTGTAATGCAGAACTAATTCTTCCTGACCAAAGCGGTGGTAATACTGCTAGTCAACATTAAAAACCAATAACAATAAATTTTATCTCACATACAGAATCAGGAACCTCTTACTAATAGAATATACGAGTATCCTAGGAATTTTTCTCTATTTACTACGGACAAATTTACATATTTTTTAGAGATTCACGGAATACTGATTTTACCGGATAATCGTGTAACCGGCATTATCTGTCTTCGCTGAAAGTATAATTGTAGTACAGGTCTGACGAAGGAAGCTGGCGAGCAGTCGCGCAGGTACTTGCCCATTTATGACCTATTTGGGTAAGTCACTTGGAACCGATACACAAATAAGCTTTCAGTGGGCGTAAATTATAGTATTAATACAGATAAGACAGTAACGTACTAGAAAATAATGTAAAAACATGACTTATCAATAAGAAAAAATTAACCTATTGCTTTTCTTTTATACTTAGTTTTCACATTCACTGTCATCATGGGAATCTCTATCACTGTCACCAACATCAACAATTAGTTCTTCTGTTTGTCTGTCTCTTACTTGCTCAGTGATCCCTATTTTTAAATATTTAATCTACGCACCTGAAGAATGAGGGCTGCAATCTTTATACCTAAAACTGCCTACTTTTGTCACCGCGCATCCACGCCATTTTAAAATTTCCGCCAGCTTCCAGCGTCAGGCCTGTACATAGTTAATGCAGCCAGATGGCAGGATTCGATGTTGCCAGACCTAGCGAAATTTCCCTAAACTTTCTGAATTTAGAGCTTTCTTAAGGAAAAGTGGGTTTTATTTATTGATAATTATTTAAGTAGTTGTAGATAATTAAAAAACAAAAAACTTCCTTTTTTGCAATTAAAAACTAAAAGAAAAAATCACTGTTCGTTTTATTCTCAAAATCGTACCAACTAGTTGTTTATATTATGATTATTGTCAAGTACTTAATGCGAAAACTATGAAAGTCCCCTTTTTTGATAAGCGATCTCTCTGATCTCAGTTTTAAAGGAGTTTTTCCGATAACTTGTTCCGATAATAATTTCAAACAATTTTTCTAATCACTTTCGAAACAGTATTTAAAGACAATGCGATTAATGCATCACCATCAGTGAGTCAACTAAACGAAAACAGAAAATATCAAAACATTCAAAATGATGTCTCTCAAAGTTTTGTTCGCGACAGTCCTTGGGCTGTTCGCATTTTCGGAGGGACTCATCAGGATTGAAAATAAAGTAAGTTCCAATCTCTTTTTACCTTATAAAAATTTATTAATGCCAAATACGTAGTACTACTACGTAGATGCCCTTTACGGTCACTACAAATTGTAAAATGCGTGGAAGATTGCAATAAAATAGTTGGTTAATACATTTGCGAAATTTTGGAGTAATCAACAACAAAAGCCAAGAAGACTAATTAAATTTCTGCGTTCATTTGTTTTAACTTGACAATTGTTTCGCCAAACTTCAGCGTCTTCGGAAGTTCTGCGGCATTTAATCCTAACTAATATTATAAATGCGAATGTAAGTTTGTTTGTTACGATTTCACGCCTTAAATACTCAATCGATCATCATGAAATTTTGTATACGCATTGTCAGGGGTACGACAAAGAACATAGGGTTGGTACCTTTCATTCAGAAAAGAAATATTGTTTTAGAGGGAAGAAGAATTAGTTTTATGTGGTCGTCGATGATCTTTGACAGGTATTTAGGACATCAATGCGAATAAAGCCGTGGATAAAACGTAATATGATATATATAATATAGAAACGATCAAAATTGGCAAAGTCTGCAATAAATTATCTGTGAGAATGGACGTATCTTCTTCGCCCATTTTGTTGCTAACCCTCGACATGCAGTCAAGTCAAGTCCATTATCATGTCTGATTAGCGTTATGATTTTCAGAGCGCCATTTCCCCTCTCAGCACAACAGTGGTTGGTAGCAACATGCCGGTGACATGGCAAGTAGAAGCAGCTGAACTTTTAACAAACGTACTTCAATTATACAATACGAATAATGTAAGAGCAAGAGCGCTTTCCGAACTGTTTGAAGCAACTCACATTAACTACAGTTGGTTTGTTGCTGTTAATAGTTCGTATATTTATAATCCACTCAGTTCTTATTACTGCCAACTTCGAACAGAAACCACTTCCGGAAATACCACCAATATACAGGACTTCGTTGTTTTTGCAGGAAATAGTTGATTATATTATTAGGCAAATACAATATATAGTAACACTCTTATTTTTTGCCTTTTTTATTGTCTCTAGCTAATATTCAAATTACATTATATGTAGAGCAAAAGTGAGGTTATATCCATTGCGTATGGTGTTCTCAATAAAGATTTTCCCTTTTCTTTTTTCCTTTTATCTGTTAAGTATTGTCAACAACTAGAATATTTGGAATAAAAACTGTAAAAAAAACTGTTAAATTATGAACTATTGCAAACGGCATGGTGAACACCATCTATGGCGCAATCCACATTTATGTTCAACAAGGCCTTTTCACGTAGGCAGGTAACCAAATGCTCATGGTGGTCAGTAAGTGGATACAGTTCAGAAATCAGATATCAATTAAGGTAAATGAACCTTGTTGAACATATTGAATTCTACTAAATGTAGCATTGTGCCACAGATGGCGTTCACGATGTCGTTTGTACTACTTCATAAGATGCTGTCACTAAGTAGTAGCCAGAGTTGGTCCGTCTCATCTTTCTCACCCGAACCACCACCCACCCATTCTCACGATTCCTGAAAGCAGGCTGAAGAGGGCCTTCCGCCCTACATTCGGGCGTAGTCCGGAGGGACTGCCCGCCCACCAGCATTACTGGCTGGTGGGAATGAAACGCCCAAAAGTTTTTTTTTTCTGTCTGTGTTCTAATCGAGCGGCATGGCCTAGAGGTTTAGACCATTGTTTAGGATTCGGAAGGACGCCTGTTCGATTCCGGATCCATCTGCCTTGGTTCATGTTTTCCTGTGGATTTCTTAGATCACTTAAGCAAATGCTGGGGCAATAATATTCCACAGATAATCTTTCATTCTCTTTTGTCTTCATTTCGTCCGTCTCATTGTTCTTACCCGAACCACCACCCACTCATCGCCACGATTCCTGAAAGGAGGCTGAAGAGGACCTTCCGCCCTACTTACCGGCGTAGTCCGGAGGGACTGCTCTCCCACCAGCATTACTGGCTGGTGGAAACGAAACACTCCAAAGTTTTTTTCTTTCTGTATTCTGATGAAGCATGATTTAAACACGAAAATAGTACAAAAACTCAAAATAAATTCAACAACTTGTTGAATTTTTTTGTGGCTAGGTATACTTTCATCGTTTGCAAAATTACAAATTAGTAAGTACTTTAAATCTTTTCGGGAGCAAGATAATTAGCCGAAAGAACGAAAGCTCTTTGCTTTTTTCTATTTAATAATTTAAAGGATAAATATAACTTTGAAAAGTTACACAGACTCCGCTTTGGAGAATTGTTTGAGATTTCAAGAAAAGCAAATTTAACATTAAAAAGCGTCCAAACGATTTAATTAAATGAAAACTAGCACAAACAGAAGAAATCAAGCAGATGCTTATAGAAGGATTATAATGGTTTTTAGTTTCTAATTTAAAATCTGCAAATGTTCTTTTTAATTAATATAACAAAATCAATATTGTACATTGTTTCACTTTTACCATGTTAAATAGAGATCGTTACCATCATAAGGTCGTCAGTCCTAAGACTGGTTGCACACGCATCTCTACTCTTTCGTATCCTGAGCCAATCTTCGCATTTCCCCAAAAGTAGAACAACCGACATCCTTCTCCTATTCTTTCTAATACCTCTACATTTCTAACCTTCTCTATCCACGGTATCCTTATCATTCGCCTGTAACACCACATTTCGCTTCTAACCTTTTCTATCCTCTGCTTTATATCCCTACTACTCCTTCCGTCCTGACTTATCTGACTAAGTATATTTAACATCTTGTTCCATTTAACATTGTCGAAAGCTTTTTCTAAATCTACAAATTCTATGTACGCACTCTTTCGTTTTTATATCGTTTTCTCTATTGTTTCTCTATTTTTTTTCATCCTCTTCTGTACAATTCCAGTTAAGATTTTGACGCATGGGTAGTTAAGCTGATTGTTCTAAATATGGATAAAGCACCTAATATAAGCAAAAGGCTTAATCCTAAAATTCCACATAAAATGTAATGTTAAAAAATTCTAAAGTGTCATACTCGTTATCAGTTAAAGACTCAAATTATGTTTTTTTCAACAACTTATACAGAAACCTTTCCATAAATTTTGTCTTATCGGGTAGGTAATTTGTGAAGTAGACTATCAGTAATAAAAAATGAAAAACTACCCACGGAATTGAATATTGCGTTCCTAAATTCTTTCAATCGTGTTACCTGCACAAAGTGCTTGTCCCTTTGTATATGTATGTGTATATAGTAAATGAGATTGCATTTACGATGTCGTTTAAATGTATTTAATGGCCGCTTGAACAGGCCTTAAAACGTAACAAAAACGATTAGATTGTCACAAAGGCTTCGTGGTAGTTTAGGTACTTTATGGGAGAAATTGTCGTAACAAATATCTATGTAGCCACTTAAAGTGACATACCTCGTATAGTGCTGCATTCTAATTTTCTTTGTTTTATATCCCTTTAAAGACTTCCTATTAGGGTTTCACCAAGACAGGGGCCTTGACCTTAACAAATTAGAAAATACCACAAATGGCGCGGTAAACGCCATCTGTAGTATGATGCTAAATTTACGATTACGTATGCCCCAACAAGGTCCATTTAAATATATCTATGGATATCAACTTGCTCAAACGAATCCCGGCGTAGCTAACCTCAACGTGATAGGCACGTTACCATAATCGAATAAAATAATTCGAAGTGGTCTGTATTCTGTCGAAACTGCCAGACGCGGATCGCCATTTCGATCTCTGTGGATCTCATCAGCGCGTCGCAGATAGCTTCGACAGAACACAGACCAACTTTTGCCTGCTGTCTTAACAGCGCGTTTTGGAAAATACCACAAATGGCGCGGTAAACGCCATCTGTAGTACGATGCTACATTTTATTATTACGTATTACTACAGATGGCGTTTACCGCGTCATTTGTGGTATTTTCTAAAACGCGCTGTTAAGACAGCAGGTAAAGGTTGGTCTGTGTTCTATCGGAACTGTCTGCGACGCGCTGATGAGATCCAAAAAGATCGAAATCGCGATTCGTGTCTGGCAGTTTCGACAGAATACTTAAATTATCTTAAATTTCCATTTTAATAAATTGTATCTGAATGTAGAATTTTGTACTTTTTCTGAATCTGAATCAAAATATAGGGGGTTCTATTAAAAAAAAAACTGGCAATCTCGAAATAATTTTTCATCTTTTGTCAAGACATTTTTTTAATGTAGCTAAGCCTTTCCTGCGGAGAAGTTTCTATTAAACAAACCTTCACCCCTCAACTACTTCTTCAATCATGTTGAAACGAGTAAGAATCTTTCGTGTTGGTAAAACTGGAAAATTAACTGATATTCAAATTTGAACTGTCTCTTACGGTATTAGATCGCTAGCATTTTAAATCACCAATAAATGTTTATTTTCCAGATAAAAAGTTTCTTGCTTTTCAATTTTGTATCGACCGTAAAAAAAGTTTGTAAGCACGAGACGTCCCACGGGCAATTTCTGAAGCACAAATTGAATTTCTCAGTTCTAACAATTTTCCAAATTGTGACAATACATATATACACACTTTACGATCTAAAATAGAAAAGATCGAATAAAGTTAAAAACTTCTATACCCTTTTGTTACACTTCGAATTAACTTATTGTTGTTATTTTTGTTTCAGGCTACTCCTTCCTCTTAAACATCTTGATGCAGGTAAGCACTGAATGTTTATAGTACTACCAGGATAATAAAACAAAAACAAAAATTACTTGACAATAATATTCTACTTTGTTGATGCATATTTTAATGAAAAAGTAATTTTTGTGAAACAATTTATTTCGTGGGGTTTGCAAAAAAATATTTATAGGTGAAATTGTAATGTTGTTGATATTTAACGGAAGGTCTAACTCACTGCGAAGGTTGTTTAGTTACGACGATCCAAATTGGCAAAATGTGCAATTAATTATCGGTGAGAATAGACGTATGTATCTTCATTCTTGTTTCCACTTAAGGATGTTTGGGAGGTATGTCAAAATGCTACGAGACAAATAAAAATTTGGAAGAACGTTCCTCATTCAATTCTAAAACTCCTGTAAAAATTGCAAATCGATTCACTAAACCGTTAAAAAGTTATTGAAATTTTAAAAAATTGTAATTTTACACGTCATTTTATGGAGATTCGTTTAAATTTATTTTTATTAACAGAAAAAAGCTACCAGAAATTTCAAACTTTTATAATAAGCAACTTGAACTCTGGAGAATCACTTTAGCATAAGGTTTTTCAAATTCACTAAATGGTTATCGAGGAAAAAATGAAAAATTAGCTGAAAATCTCGTTTTTACTTGATAATATAATGATAATATTTATAATTGTCTGAAATAAATGCAATTTTAAAGTTTTAATTATTATTTAAACATATTAAATCGTTTTACGCTCATTATTAATAGAGATTGAAACAAAATATTTTTTTGTTTCGAAGTTGAAATCAAGGCATATTCACTGCCAAAAGTTAGTTAAACATTTTCCATATTATTCGTTATTTCTTATTTTATTAAAAGTTTTTGGTCAAATTCCAAATTTTCTGTCAAACCGTATACTTTTTTTAGTATTTATTTACCTCATGATATGCTGCAAAACCTAATTAATAACGAATTTCTAATTTTATGTACTCTTGTCTCCGATAGTACCTCCCAAACATCCTTAAGGCTGTAGTCATTTGCTACGTTTTGAACACGTCTTGTTAGGTAGGAAATGCTTCATGAGTAGTACAGACAAAATGAATAGAGATAACCGAATAGTAGTAAGCGGTGCAGCGGTTAGAGGTTGCTTAGATAAGCAAAAGATCAGGGTCGACTTTATAACTGCCTGGTTGAAAATGTTGAATTTTCTTTAAAGTCTGATGCCGTCAACATACTCAAATTCTACTTGCTTGCATCTCTTTCTGTTACACATCAATTGGTGTAATGTTATTACTGTTTCTTTATTAGTGTCGTCTATCGTGTGTAAAGGTAGACGTTTTGTCAGCAACTGCTCTAGTCTAGTGAGTAAGATGAAAGAAGAAAGTAAATGCGACAATTTTATTGCGAACTATACCAATTTTGAACATCCCAACTATATCATCACTAACTAAATTTTACTGTAGTTAGGTGCTGCACCATCGTCTCCTGTTTAATAGGTGCAATAGAAAACTTTTCTGAAGCATTGTAAAACTTTTTATTTTATTTAAACTTATTTTTTACTTTGCTTAAATACAATCTATAGCATTCTCTTCAGTCACTAAAGGCTTGTTGGGCTTTTTACCGGAAATGGCTTGTGAAATTAGAATTGAAATGTAACTGAATATTGCTTGCATTGTAAGTACATAAAAGATAGCTTTTCAAACCCGTATTGAGGCAGTTGTAGTATTTTATGAACAGGAAATTAAATGAATTTCTTACAGTAATTGTGGGAAGTGGGTTTTATATTCCAAGCTTATTTCCGCTTTAATCATACATCCAATTCTATTTTTAAAAAACTGATTCAAAAAGTATATCACTCGGAATGAAAATCGATGCCCAAGAGGTCATCCCCTTCAATAAATTTAATAAATTTTTGTGCATTATTCAGCTGGTTTACGTGTCTATCATACATTCATATCAGCTGTGTCATATATAGATTCGGTTTGACACAAGTACCTAAATGCCATTGTAAACCTTTTTCACTATAAAGCAGCCGCTTAAAAATTCATTCCATTGCAACCGAGAAGCAATTTATAATGTTAAACTCGCACTGAAATCTCAAGTTAGCAAAATTCTATTTAGAAAAATGAAGAAAGTCGAGTCAAACTTTGGACATTAGGTAATATAGGATTAACAAATTGGTAAAGGCTTTCGCGGCGAGTCGGTGGACTGATACTGTTGCGATTCGGCTCTAAAAGCTGTCGTCCGTTGCAGTTGTTTCTTAACGTTTCACTAGCACGGGTGGCGAGCTTCTTTAGGGGTCCTTCCATTTTCGATGCTAGACAGTTAGTGTTCTTGGACGTACTAGTCAGGAAACGAGGCAACAAATTAGGCCACACAGAATACAACAAACCTGCACACACGGACAGGTATCTGCACGTCTTATCCAACAATCACCTAAGTCAGAAGTAGAGCATCATCAAGATCCTGATTGAACGAGCTTGAAAGATCTGCGAACCGAAAAATCATCAGGCGAAACTTGAACACTTAAAAACCACCTTCAAGGCGAATGTCTACAAAAGAAGAGGAAGATCGAGAGATCAATGTACTTTGACAGATTAAAGGGACCAGAGTTCCTGAACCTGAGACTTGAACAGACACAATATCAGAACCATCTTACGAAGAAGATCCAACAGACCATCAGAACAGCTAAGGACAAAGCTTCAGCTTCAGGGCTCTATCGCATATCGTCTTCCTGCGGAAAGATCTACGTAGGAACCACTAATATTTCGATGGGGACGAGATTCAAGAAATACAAAGTAACGGCGACCAAAAAATGCTCTTTTGGTACTGTAAATAGCTAGCTTCGGTCAACGGCTATCACAGAAGGTCATCATCGAGATCCAAAAACACCCGCAGAACTTCAATAAGAAGGAGGACCCTCAGACTCAACCAGATCTGGAACCCGATTCCAGGAACACCCAAACAGCATCGACCCGCATGCCATAGTTGACCGAATCGGAACAAAGACCTCTGAAGAATCTCGCCACTTGTACTAACGAAACATTAGGAGGCAACTGCAACCGACGACCGCCTTTAGACCTATATGTAGACAGCATTAGTGTTATATTGTTGGGAATAAAGCAGGGCGGTTAATAATGCACACCGTCATTATCATTGAAGACCGAGCGGAATGGCCTAGAGGTTTAGTCCATTGCTTAGCATTTGGGAGAACGCCGGTTCGATTCCTGGTCCGTCTGGTTTGGTCCAAGTTTTTCTGTGGTTTCCTTGGATCACTTAGGCAAATGCTGGGGCAATAATATTCCACAGATAATCTTTCACTCTCTTCTGTCTTCATTTCGTCCGTCTCATCTTTCTCACCCGAACCACCACCCACCCATTTCCCACGATTCCTGAAAGCAGGCTGAAGAGGACCTACCGCCCTACCTTCCAGTTTAGTCCGGAGGGAATACCCACCCACCACCATTAGTGACTGGTGGGAATGAAACACCCAAAGGTCTTTTTATCATTCACGAGTGACAGTGATTTTAAAATCTGGCAACATAGTTACATCATCGGGATGGTGAAGCTGTATGAAGAAGTCATGCAGTTTAGCCCGCCATTAACAACACGGGCTGCATATGAGTTTTAGGGTGCACGGATTACAAGTACGTCTTAACGTAATAGGACGTCCTTTTTAATTTAAAACATTTTACTTGCAAAAATGAAAAGTACTCCATCGTTTATCATAGCATTGCTGCTATCTTTTCTAATACTCAAAAGACAAAAATTAAAACCTTGTTTATTTTCCCGAAAAAAGCATGTGTTTGATACTTAATATCTCTAACAATTTTCAGAGTTTGTCTCTATTTAACTCTAGAAATTTTGAGGTAAAACAAAATTATACTGCATATAAACCCTAGAGCGCGTCATTTCGTAGATAAATAAAAGCGCCTAAAATCAAATGTTGTTTTTGAGCTTCTGCCATCAAAAGCTTTTATTTGATATACGGTTCACTTTGTTAATTTACAGAAATAATAATAATGAACAAATAAACTACGCTGGCGTGACCCTTTACCGTGTATGCTTGCTTTTAATTTCAATTAATCCATTTTTGTTTTTGTTTCATTAGTGTTGGCTACAATTTTCGGGATGTTCCTGAGTGCTTTTTACCGTACATGGGAAAGTAGTTGCCTTATCCAGTGAAAACCAGCAAAATTTATTTAATTGAAACTCCCAAGGAAAATGCACCACATTGCATACAGCCGTAGAACTACTGAAAAATAAAAAAATATTCAAAGTGGAAGAATGTCATTTATAGTCATATCTCTTCAAAAAAAATATGCTATTCAGCTGAAATTTTGTATGTAGTTTAAAAAAATCAAAAGGGGTGTAAACCTAAAAAGCAGCTTGCAGACAGAGACAGAATCTAAAGGTAGTAGTGAAAACAGCACCTTAGTTTTCGAATTAATAACAGAGATTACGACAAAGCCACCGCGCTTCAGCACGTGACGTCACCGAACTTGCGCAGTTCGAGAATCATACATTCTCCAGTGCTTTTAACGTTTTTTTCGATTTAACATTATCGATAGCTTTTTTCTTACATAAAAAATTATACTATATTTTAATACTATAGTAAAAACGCTATCTAGAAACTGATCCTCATGATATCGCATGTAGAAATTCCTGTAGAAGATGTATTTTAAGAAACGAAATATAAAAGGGAAATAAAAAAGTCGCTGCCATAGCCTTTCTCGTTTGAAAATTGTCCCAAGAGCAAAAAATAACAAAGACACGCTATAATTATGACCACGTCTACTTCGATCTTTTACTACTGACTCAATTTGTTCCCTAGACAGTTGGTATCAATTTGGGTATTCCAGAAAGTTGTCTGGCATCCTCTACCTTTTCTATCGTTTCTTATCGATCCTTCTAGGATAAGACGCTTTACATTAGTTTACATGTAAGGTACATCATATAATTACATAAAAGAAGCTTTTCAGATAAAAAATGCTATACGTGTAAACGTTTACACATTATTTAATTAAGTTATA